AATTCAATAACATTGAAATTATTCATACAGTCGAAATATTAAACACAAACAAGAACATTTTTGCATAAATATTGAGTGAACTTTTGTGTTATTTAAGATTATGTTTCAAACTTCTTTGGAAAGTTTTTAAAGATATAAAATTTCATAAACCGGAATAATTAATGAAAACAACAATTAGAAGTTTGAGATTTCAAAGATCCTCATCAGCTAAACATCTGAAACTAGAAGCTTGACTTGCAGCTAAATATTTAATCATTCAAAAAATGTGATATGTATAGAAGTTTATCANCATGCTAGAAATGAATCCCCAACAAACCATTCAAATGAAAAATCAAACGATACGATAAATGTTTCATACAAATTGGGGACGAAAATTACAAATTTTGATGGCATCGATTACTTTAAAGGAAATTTCGGAAAACGAACTGTGACAATTAAAAGAATTCTTCATTCGCTTTACAATACAAATGAAATTGAGAGATTAAAGATTTTGGATGATCATGAAAATATTCTGCGATATTTTAATACTTTCAAAGATAATTTCTATTTCTACATCATAATGGATGAGTTTGGTGTATCATTGGAACAGTTTGTCTTTAATAAAATTAATCAAATCGCTGGTCTGGAAGAGAATCTTATGCAACAGTTGACATCAGTTGTAGGATTTATTCACAAAAAAGATATTTATTCGCTGAATTTGAATGTATTCAATGTACGTGTCGTCTTTAAAAATGGTCGGTTACTGATTAAACTTTTAAATTTTCATAATGCCCAATCTCTAAATGGGAATAAAATCCGTTTTTCACGAACTCCTGGCATGTTGTCAGATATTTACGATCTAGGATGTATTTTCTTTTTCGTATTATCCAAAAGACACAATCTCAAAGAAGAAACGACCAATTTAGGAAGCAATATGATTGTTTGTATATTGCAAAGTTTTGAAAACAGCAATAAAACATGGAAAAATGTTCTTTGCATTGACATGATAAAAAGAATGATGAAGCCGAACGAGAATGCAAGACCAAACATTAACGAAATAAAATCCCATCCATATTTCTGGGAAGTTGATAAGATAGCGAAAATGATAATAAACGTAAGCAAAATGTTTGAAGATAACAATGGAAGCAATCAAGACTTTAAAATGAAACTGGAGAGAACTAAAAAACAAGTTATTGGAGGAAATTGGAAATCAAAAATTGATAACGAAATACTGGAAGAGATTTGCAAACATCGGATGTATGACGGTCAAAAGCTTTATCAATTAGTTCAAGCAATCAGAAATATTTTGGTTCATCAAACTTCTCCTGTGATAGCAGATAATATGGGAACAACAATCGAAGATATTTTGGAATATTGGCTTAAAAAATTTCCTAAACTTGTTGTCCATCTTTGGCAAGTCGCTAAGGATCATAATTTGCTTTAGATTATCAATGACTGGAACTAGATTTGGCTCTTATCAGTATTCAAATACATTTTTTTTTATCAAAACATCATCAATAATCCTTCATTTTGTATCGTAAACAGTCAGAAAATTATTTTTATCGGAAATTATGTGCAGAAAGCGTTTCAAATTTTACTTGCAAATTTATTTAACTTTTTAAGAGCTAACATGTGTTCGCTCTCTTCATATTGAGAACTTTTAAACATTCTTAATTTCAAGCTTAATTTAAGAGCACTAAAATTCAATAACAATGAAATTATTCATACAGTCGAAGCATTAAACACAAACAAGAACATTTTTGCATAAATATTGAGTGAACTTTTGTGTTATTTAAGATTATGTTTCAAACTTCTTTGGAAAGTTTTTAAAGATATAAAATTTCATAAACCAGAAGAGTTAATGTAATCAATAATTAGGTAGAAGTTTGAGATTTCAAAGATCCTCATCAGCTAAACATCTGAAACTAGAAGCTTGACTTGCAGCTAAATATTTAATCATTCAAAAAATGTGATATGTATAGAAGTTTATCATTTTATTAAAACAATTAATTGTAATTGTAAAAACTTTTTTGTTACCATTTGTAAAGAAAAATTAAAAACAATAAATTTTATTAAAATGTTTCATGCTTAGGAATGTTACTTTGATGCATCAAGAATATCGATAGTATCAACACTGAAATTACTTTTGTTTTTATTTGCGTTTGTTCGATTTGCATTGTTCTGTGATAATCGAAATGACTTTCGTTTCTTGAAACTTTCAAAAATTGATGGTGAATCTAAAGTTTGTGAACTTATGACATGATCGACATCATTTTCAACGATATTTTCAGGAGAGAAATCATTGCACGTTTTATATAAATCACCCTGCAATTTCTCTTCGGACTTTGAAGCTTTCTCTGATTCACTGCCGGAAACATTTAATGATTTCCACTTCTCGGAAGTTTTACTTTTGTTGTTGTCAACATCAAGCAATTGCGCATCTTGTGACATTTCAAAAGGAGAAATTCCACGAGACTTTTTACTTGAATTTGAACTGGTCGATGAAAGTCTTTTTCGTTTTACGTTCTTCGGCTTGAATAACTCATCAGATTCCTGACTACTTTCAATCAATCTCTTTGGAGTCAATTTTATTCCTTCAAAAATGTCGGCTTTTATAGCACTTGGAGTTGTCATAATTTTCTTTGACTCATTACGACTTTTAAGAGTTTTTGGTGATGAAACGATTAAATTCTCTTCCAGAAATTCTTGGGAGTCGATTGAATCTTGGAAATTATTGAACTCAAAAAGCTTCTTTGGAGTTGTTCTTGATGACTTTCGTTGTGGTGAAGGTTTATTAATAATACTGGATTTCTTAGCTTTTGGTGTTTGTGGTGTAGTACGATTGATGCCTGAAGTTGATGGTTGAGGATCAGGCAATGCTTCTTGCTTATCATTAGAGACTTCTTTCGATATATTTTTGTCATCAATTGATACATCGGAGAAACTTAAATCTGATGATAAATTATTAAATTTGTTCGTGATGTTGTTTGATCGTTCCAATTGACGTTCCAACTTCGCTATTTGATTCTTTTTTGAATTTAGAAGTAATAAGAACTTTGAATAGACATTTTTATCAAACTCCTCTTTTTCAGCGGCTAATGCTTCAAAACGTTTGTTCATTTCTCTCAAATCTTTCGAAGATTTGTTGATGACTTCCTTCAAGTTCGATATTGATGATAAATCATCAATAATGTTTAATATGAAATCAAATATTTCGCTCTTTTCTACTCGTTTGACATCAATCTTCAGATAAATGATATCCCCCAAAGATCCTTCAGAACCAAACGATTCTTGCGCAAAAATAGTGAATTTTAGCTTCTTTTCATTAAGCTCATAATGAATGTTTTCTTGTTGTTCAGATGAAATCACTGAGTTTTTAATAACTTCATATTCGACATTAATATCTTTTGCTTTCTTTTTAATTTCTGCTGTATCGAAGGACCCAATGAAAATTGCTTGACTTTCCTTGTTTAATATTTTAATTTCAACTTTCCCATCATAAACCCATTTACTCTTTATCACTGCTGGTTCTGAGTCTATAAGTTCTACATTTTTTACAAACAGATTAAAAGACATCTCAAATTTAACACAAATGACGTTATTTACAAGAAAATTAAAATACAATTTAATATTAAAGCAATGTTATGAAATCAAAAGTTTTTGTTTACAATGTTTATAAGAAGCGAAAGATACAAAAAATCTTGAGAAAAGAAGCGAAAAGTGTCGTGCCCCGCAATAACAAAACGTGTTGAGCGAACGAAAAAATATTGAAATTGTTAAACAGCTAAAAATTAGTTTTGAGCATCATGGATTCTAAACCTAAGAATGACATAAAAAAAGATGAAAGATTTGCTCATCTTTTCAACAATCCTCGTTACAGAAAATTACCTGAAAGAGAGAAGAAGGTTAAAATTGATAGTCGTTTCAAATCAATGTTTAAAGATGATAAATTCCAAGTTAAATACAGCGTAGATAAATATGGACGTGAAGTTAGTAAAACATCTTCAGAAGATTTAAAGAAATATTACCTTCAAAGTTCAGAAGAGTCTTCAGATGAAGAGAAGGATGATGGCAATGCTGTCATCGAAAGTGGTAATGAAATGCCAGATACGCTGAAGAATAAATTGAAAGATCTGGAAGTTGACTACATAAGAGGTGAAGGCGTCTTCCAATCTGATAGTTCTGATGATGAAAGTACTTCAGATGAAGCTGACGAAGTTTACATCGAACATGTTTGGGGAGAGCTTGATCATGATGCTGAAACCACTGAAGAATCTTCAAGAAGAATCGCTTGCATGCACATGGATTGGGATAGAATAAGAGCTGTTGATATCTTGATGATGTGTAATTCATTCATTCCTTCTGGTAGTGGATCAATTTTATCTGTTAAGGTAAGTCACATTCATTCACTTTTTTATTTTATTTCTTACAAGAATTTCTTTTTTTCTTTAAGATTTTTCCGTCTGAATTTGGTAAAGAAAGAATGGCGCAAGAGGAACTGCAAGGTCCTCAAGAATTGACTAAAATTGAACACACAGAAGAACAACCAATTGATGAAGAAGATGAAGAATATAAAGAGAAGCTTCGAGAATATCAACTCAATCGATTGAAATATTTTTATGCAGTTATTGAGTTTGATTCAGTGAAATGTGCTGATATTGTTTACAAGGAATGTGATGGATTGGAATATGAAACTACAGCTAATCGATTAGATTTAAGATTCATTCCCGATGATATGGAATTTGATGATGAACCGAAAGATGTTTGCAATGAATTGCCAGAACGTTCAAAGTATCAACCAAGAATTTTCTTCACCACTGCCCTTCAACAAGCAAAAGTTGAACTCACTTGGGATGAGACTGATGTCGGCAGGAAAGAAATCACTGAAAAGTTATTCAGTGATAAAAGAAATGAAATTACGGATAACGATTTGAGGAAGTTTGTTGCATGTAGCAGTGAAGATGAAAATTCAGAGGACGACAACAGCGATAATGGAAATGAAATCGACGATGAAGACAATAAACCAAAAGATAAAATCAATTTATACAAATCACTTTTATCCGAAATTAATCAAAAAGAAGAAGAGAAAAAGAAGAAACAAGTTGAAATGGAATTCACGTGGGGTGTTGGCGTTGATAAGAAGAAAGACATCGAAGATGATGAAGAATCAGAGAAGGAAGAATTAACGCCATTTGAAAAGATTCTCGAGAAGAAAAAGCTTAAAAAGAAAGCAAGGAAAGAAGCGAGAAAAAAGAAATTTAAAAACGACGATGAGGATAACGATGATGATGATGATGAAGATGGTTACAGTTCAAGTGACTTTGACGACATCGACATGAATGATCCTTACTTTGCTGAAGAATTTGCTAATAATGAATTCAAAATGCCTAAAAAGATGTCAAACAAAAAACAGAAGAAAAAATCATCACAGAATAGCGATGATGACGAGGAGAAGAAGAGAAGACAAATGGAACTTGAATTGCTTTTGAGTGATGCAACAGAAGACAAAAAAGCACATTTTAGTTTGAAACAGATACAAGAAAATGAAACGATGAGTTCATCAAAACGAAAACGACGAATGAAGAAATCTAAAAAAGAAGCGATAAAAGAACTTCCAGATGATAACTTTGAGCTTAACATTAAAGACGATCGTTTTAATGCTGTTTACTCTAAACCAGATTTCAACATTGACCCAACAGATCCAAACTTCAAGAAAACAAAAGGAATGGAAGTTTTAATTCAAGAAAAGTTGAAACGTCGCTATAATGATGATGCCGGTGAATCATCGATCAAGCCGGATACAAATCATCCAGAAAAGAAAATTAAAACAAAAGATGTTGCACTTAACATGCTGGTCAAAAATATTAAAAGAAAAGTTGGAAAATAAAATTTTTGTTTCACTTTTTTTATATCAAATTTCATACTTTTTTTTATTTATCTCTCACAATAATTTAATTTCTTTTTTATTTTCATCAAAGAAATGCCGAATTCAGTGATGGATGAAAATGTTGGAGAACTTCAGGGTAAAATTCATGAAATTTATTTGATTCTAAGACATGATTAATTCGACATTTCCTCAATACAAAACGATTCATCTGAACCAAAGCTTTAAACGTAATGCATCGACTCCATTTAAATAGTAATGAAACAATCGTTTATCTCGTACAAATCCAAGATTTTCATAAAGCTTTAGAGCTGGTTGATTTGTTATTTCTGTTTCGAGTACGACTTCGTCGGCTTGATTCGCTCTCATGACTCTTATTGCTTTTTGCACAAGTGTTGTGCCTATTTTGAGCTTCCTAAATTCTTTATCAACAGCCAACATTGCTATGTATCCTCGCTTAGTGATTTGACGATGAATATCAAGCTTACAAACGATACATCCGACACATTTGTTCTCGTAAAGTGCTAAGTAACAGAGCTTTGGCCAGTTATTAATGAAGTAACGATAAGTGTAAATGGAGTAAGGCTCCGAGAGATCTTTTTGGATGAGCTTCATAATACTCGGCAGCTCTAGCTCCGATTCATAAACTTTATATGTGATCCTAAATGTTTTATTATCCCGCACGACCTCAATTGTCTCGCATGACTCGGGAGTCTCTGAACACTTTTCTTCAGTAACAATATCTGATGACAATTCGCTTAATTCTGTTGATCCCTCGTTCTCGGTCGACGTTTGGTGTGTTGTTGGTGATTGTAGTCCATTGGGAAGTTGTTCATCACCATTCTCCTGACATTCACGAAATTTTTCTTTGTTTGCTTTTAAAACGCTATGACTGTTGTCTACAATATGATTAGATTTTACATCACTAATGACTACATTTTGTAGCTTCGATTCGACTTCTTCCATGCTTTGATGCTTGCTCTACTTAATTGTTATTTTGATTTATACAAAAAATAAACTTACAAAACGAATATCAAAGCCCCCGATTCAATGATGTTACACAATTTAAAAGAAAAAAATTTTCGCTTCTTTCTTTTGCTTCTTTTTCAAATTATCCGTTACAAATTTATTCATTTTTTATTTACACAATTTTAAAACGATATTCTATAAATTTAATAAAGGACGATACTATTGAACTTTGGTGGATCTCCTGTGAGGCCATCTGATTCCCAAACTTCAATTTCATGATCGGAGAGAAAGGCTAAATGATGATTAGAGGTGTAGACAACGTCAGTTATTCTGGAATTCCTTCCTGTCGCTATTTCACGAATCATTTCGAGAGTCCACGTTGAATAAAGTCGAATGACACTATCTTCAAATCCCACAGCAATAACATTCACACCAGTTCCTTCTTTAATGAAACTGAAACACACAGCAGTGGCGAATCCATCAGAAAACTTATGACTTATGTATTTCGCATTGATTGAATGTAATCGAAGCTGTGATTTTCCCTCTATCGCCATTGAAACATTTACGAATTCATCTCCACCAAAATTCTCAACAACTTCAACATTCTCTTCATCAGAAGTTATTTCAGTGACAGATTTCGGTGTGAAAATTGTTAAAATATCTCCAAGTGTTGAACTTATTTCAACAAGTGATAATTGCGATCTCAGAGTGTTGCATGATGACTCAATAGTTCGAATGTATTCAATCTTTTGACTGTCCCAAATGACTGTTGTTCCATCCATACAAATACTAACAACAATTTTGAAGTTAACACATACTTTTATGTCTAAAACTTCACTCCGATGTTTGACGAGATAAATTGGATAATTCCACCAAGATTCAATTTCAACTTCATTATCTTCAAGAGTGTTGTTAACATTAATTTCCTTAATTCCTATAATGGCTTCAAGAGCATCATTAAAACTTCTCGTATGTCGTTTTCTTTCCTTGGTAATCTTCTCATCATTTCGAATGTAGACGCTTATGTTACCCGATTGGTGACCAAACCAAAGGTTCGTGTATTTAACATGCGAACCACAAGCAGTTATCGGATCATGCGATGGATTATGAAAGAGTTTACCACTTTTCATACTAGAATCGTCTAATCTTTTCATTCTCACAACACCATCACTTTCACTCCAAAGTACCAAATCGTGATAAGCGAAATGTGGAGCTTGCATGAGATGACATCGATCGGGAAGACCGTAAAATAAATTCGAACCTTCAACTGACACCAGTCTTACAATCTTTGAATTGCATTTCACAGCTTCAATTCGCTTAGGTTTAGGAAGTTGAGGTGAACCAGTGAAACATCCCCATCGTAATCCAACAACTTGGCTTAGTACAACACGAGAGTCTGGAAGACTGTAACTGCTGACAATCGGCTTCTTATGAACTGTAGTGAAGATTTGTTTTGGCATTTGCCCATAAGTTCTAACCATTGTCTCGCAAGCTGTTCTCTCAACTGGATCATTGATGTTTGTTATTTGAAATTCAGGATAAGTCTGTGAAAGAAATTTAAAATGAAATTAAAGAAAAATGTTCAATTCGTCAACTCACCGCTGGATGGAAAACATTAACAGCATAAACAGCTGCACTTCCTTTCTGTTTAAAGCCAAATATTAAATCGATCCATTGATGCAATTGCTTTCTAACGTAATCACATTCAAGTGCTTGTCGATTTATGAGCATAAAAAGCCTTGCCGAGCCTTCACACCACGATGGAAGTTTAACATCATCCACAACATCGCCCGATTGCCGTTTACCAAAATTAAAACCTTCAGAATTCTCAAAGAAATCAAAGAGATAAAAGAACTCGGGAATAAGTTCCTTGACATCTGTTGCTGATTCTTTACTTGTTAGTCGATATGTTGTCGCTAATGAATGAAAAGTTCGATCGGGAATATCAAAGTTGTGATCTTGATACAACAGAAACATGTTTGTGAATGGCGGAAGTCGGACAAGGAAATGGAGAATCGTTCCAGAATTCGAATAATGTGAACTGTAATGATATGGCTTCATTAGTGATTGTCGATCATTAAGCGATTGTTCAGCAAGATATTGATATGTCGTCACATAATGTTCTTCCATCTCTTCATGTTGTGTCGAAATTGTTTTGTTCAACTTTCGGAATGAATTCGACGATTTTAAGTTCAAAACTTCACTCTCATAGTCAGCAATGATCCATGGAAAGACCGGATACTGCATCAGATCATTGTAACTACGACCAGCAATTTTATTCAACTCAATCAAATATTCGTAGTTTGTAATTCGATTCTCAATCCATTTTTGAGCGATGTCGTCAGGCTTTTCATTAATTTTTTGATCAATCTTGTCGCTCACAAACTTCTTGACGATGTCACGCTCGTAATTCGTTTCGAAAATGATGAAAAAAGTTTTTTTCGATGTAAGGAAAATTTCCAAAGCGACTTCTTTGTGTTGATATCGTCGATTCCAAACTTCGCTGATGTTTTTAATGTCACAAATAATTGAATTAATGTAAATGTCGAGATTCGCAAGGAAGATTAATTGATTGTCTGTGATGATAATTTCACCTCTAATTTCTTGTTCCATTGTTAAATGTTTTCCATTAAATGTGAAGACGATTCGATCACGAATTGAATATTTTTCAACTTCTTTAGGACGAATGATGAAGTCGAGAAGTGGCTTCACATGTTGATAGCTTGCTTTATGTTTGAAGCCACTGGTGAAGAATCTTTCTTCAATCTTCAAAGCATTTCTTTTAAATCGAATTCTCGACCGTCCTGGACCTTCCGTTTCATCCAATTCCCATGTTGATGGATACAAACTCGCATTAAACCACGGAGCATCTTCATGAATCATTCTCTGAATCAACTCAAACCACTCACGATAAAAATCAATTTCTTGTGTCGTCTTCAGCTCATTCATCAACTCACGACGCTCACTATTTTGGATATCGATGACATATCTCGTCATTTTCATTGCACCATCGATACAACTCTGAACTAAAGTCTCAAGTTTGTAAACAATTTTCTCAATTTTCTCGTTTTGATTCTTTTCCGATGTTTGACGAATTAATTCAATTTTCTCTTCAGCTGATAAACTCCAATTCCAACTTTGCTGCTGTTGATTGATTGTTCCACCACAAAACTTGATAATTGATTGGAAATTTCTTTCGTCTAATGAATTTTCATATTTATTTAAATGTTGAACTAAAAGTGCTTTGACGAGTTTCGTTTCGTTACCCGGCAATGAGAAATTTCCATCGTAAGAAAGAATCGATGAAAGTTTCTGAATTATAAAGCTCTGAACTTCTTCGTCATTTGATGAACTTAATCCCCAAAGCAACATCGATGATCCATGTTGAAAGCCACATAAATTTAATTGAATTAAATATTTCACAAAATCAAGTTCAATGATTGAAAGTTTTTCTTCATTTAAATTCCAACTGCACACAAATTGAACAGCACGATCGTGAATTAATAAAAATCTCGTTTTGATTTCAGATGATGGAAGATTTCCAAGTGTTTGTGTCACAACAAACATCGATTGTTGAGTTGTCGTGTCGTTAATGCTTCGACTTCCACGCCGATTTTGTTCAACAAGGCAAAGCGACAAAAGTTGGCGCAGGATTGTGACGTGAACTTCACGAACGACTTCATGCTTCTTGTTACGTTCTAAATATGAAAATCCATACAATAAATCCCACAAAGTTTGAATCGATCCGGTTGATGTCAGCGATTTTGAAGCAATTTGTTCAAACAGCAATAGCAGCGATTCCTTCACTCGATAATGACTTTGATCCAATTTATTTAACGCTTTCAATGACGACGATATCAAACAATAAAACATTGTCGTGTTGAAGCACTCAGATTGAGTCTCAAGAATTAATCGAAGGAATTTAATTAAATAATTCATCAATTGAGCGTCATGAATCATCGACGGAATCATCATAAACAAAACATTGAAAATTGGCTTGTAATGAATTTCAATTGCTTGACTTCGCGATAAATCTTGAATGGATACTTTCTTTGAACAAATCCAATCAACGCAAGCTTGAACCATTCTCATGTTGACACGTGAAATTGTCAATTGGTTACCAAGATGAATCCAATAATTTCCTTTCTCATATCTTAAAATATTTTCCGATGTTTCACGTCTCATCATTGCAATTATCAACTCAATAATTGCAGCACGAACATTTGCATCATGATGATTGGCAAACATTATCAACATTTCAATTTGAAGACATTCCGAAAGTTCCATCACAGCTCGGGAATCTTCAAGAAGAATCACCGAATCGCGAAGCATCATGAAAAGATTTTCTTGTAAAATTCGAACGCCTTTCTCATATCGATTAACATCGCTGGCGTCTGAGAGAAGTGAAGTTGTGCTTTCAGCTGTCATCATTGATCTGATTGCGTCCGTGAGTGCTTGATCATCATCACAACTTTCCATTTTATTCTTTTTCTGATTCATCGTTGTTTGTGGAAGTTTCTTGAAAGGACTTTTCTTCGGCGTGTAATTCAATCTTCTAACATGTCGTCGCTGCTTTATCGTCGGCGTCTTCACATCTCTCTTCATCTTCTGATCAATCAAAGCTTTCGTGACATTTTCACATTCACTTTCTGTCAATTCATCAAATTTTCTTGTTTTAATCTTCCGATTTGTCGATGAAGTTCTTTTGTCTCTCCATTCGTAATGAAAAGATGAAGTTGGCGTTGTTGGTGACTTGGAAATCGACGTCGTAGCATTTGTTGAACGAATTTTTATACTAAAATTGAAGTATTTCGATCCACTTGAAGTATTTAATTTATTCTGCTTTTGTGGTTTGCTTCCTGGTAAAATGAAATGAAATTTTGTTCGATCATGTGTCACGAAACTCTCACTTGGGTGATGCATTAAAAGCAAAAGTTTTTGAATTTCTTTCATACATCGAAACGATGTTGGCGTCTTTGAAAGCATTTTGAGAAGACGCACAATGATCAAAGCTGTTTCGGGTGTTATTGGAATTGTATTTGCTGGTATGGTCAGATGAATCTTACAAAATTGAATGATTTTCATGTAAAAATCATGTTCAAGTAGATATTGCCGATTGAGGTATTTATGTGGATGATTATCACGAACAACAACCATCAAACTTTGAAATAACAAATCAAGAACATTCACCTCACTCTTCTCCATTGTCTGAAAGATGCTGAAGTTCTCCAACAACTTCAAAAGCAATTTTGGGTTTTGAATGTTCAACACTGACTTCTCATTAATCCGATAATCTTCACTGTTGAGATTCTTATAAAACATTGTGCCGCCATAAATAACATCGAGAATTGCTTTCAACATTCCACCGCCTTTGTTGCAATTACTGTGCTTGAAGACATGAGCGACAAGATTGAAAAGTTTTCTTTGCTCAAATTCGACGTATAAATTATTACAACTGTAAGACATTTTAAGGAAGACGTAAAGTGCTGATGATTGTGTCACTGGATCATCAGTCATCTCAACAGTTCTTGCGAAGAGAAACAATAAACTTGATAAGCCGCCAGATAAATGAATTGATCGAGCTAATGACGGAATCGAAAATGGTTTTGGAATTTCCCCAACATTAAAAATGTCAATTGGCTTGCCATGTTCATGATTTTTATAGCTTAGCGGTGTTGTTGTCTTTCCCGCTGAATAAATCATTAAAACGTTCATCTTCAACTTAATCAACGATTGATTTCTTTCAATCTTCTTCACAGATTTATTCGCGACTTTTGTCATGTCCAAGAAGCCCATTAAAGGTAACATTTGAACAGCTTCACAGTCGATTAAATTTTCACAAGCTGGTCCCAATGAGAACAGATGTGAAGTCTGACTTGGTGAGTCGAGAAGTGAACGAAACAGAATGACATTCGACAATGAATATTTTAATGAACTTTCTTCATCAATTGTCGACTTTTGTGCACCAATGCAGAGTAACTCAAGCATTCCACTAAGTTCCAATTCACACATTCCATCAATTGGAATCTCGACTAGATCTTGTTCAGTTCCATTCATCGTTATCAACAACATAATATTTGTTTGGGTTGTTCGAATAGAGAAGCAAATGTGCGTCCATTGATCACTTTTTAATTTCATTTTCTTCGACTTCATTGACACTTTTAATGTTTGTAATCGTCTTGAACTTTCACCTTCATCTGTTGTTGCTTTCTTGAATCCATTTCTCTTATGTCCGCGTGTTCTTATGTTTGGATGGTTTTCAGGTGACTTTAAAGTCGCCAATCCAATACCGAAAAGATTTGTTTTGTTGATGTTTTCCTTGTTCGATCCTCTGTTGACGACTTTAACGTCGCTAAACTTTTGATTTGGTTTCGTGACGTTAAGATTGAAACTTCCATCGGCATTTAAATAAACTGACAGCATTAGCTTCTCTGTTCCAATCGAGAATAAATGACTCGAAACTTTGTCACCGTCTAACGTTTCCATCATCATCCAAATAGAAATCGTGAAGCCTTGAAAGCTCCAAGGATTAAAATCGAGAAAATTCAGTGGAATAATTTGTGACGATTCAGTGAATGGCGTAAGAAGATTATTAATGACATGAGCATCACGAAACTTTTGAATCAGTTCACGAATGTGATCATCACATGTTGAAGAAATTTTCACTTCCCTATTAAATGTTGGAAAGCTTACTTTGATGAAAGGTTGCGGCGACTTTTCCTTGTTGCAAATTGAAACTAATCGACTCACAATTAACTCAACACATGCTTCATTCTCAGTGAGAATTGACAAGAATGTTTTGAATGCTTCTGGCGCGTTGAGATCTTCGACGAGGTTCAAAATTGTTTTCTGTAAATCTATAAAAAAATTATTTAAATGAATGTTCAGAAATCTTCACATTTACCTGATAAACTTTCATTTCTTGATAAAAGAATTCCTGAAAATCCTTTCAACAAGATTTCCGATCCACCAAGATAAGTTTTCATGCATGACAATCTTTGAGCGAGTGACGTCAACACATTTGGATCCCATTGACTTGGTTTCTCAACACATCGTCTTGACAATTCCATGAGAATCTCCACGACCAACTTGCAAATATGTTCATTCGTGTTACGAAATTTTGACGGTGCTGGTGATGATGTTGAGCGATTAAATTGCGAGCATTCAGTGTCAACAGTTGATTGAACTTCTTCATCAGCCTAAATAAAAATTGAAAGTTGAATGTCGATCTCAATTCGAATTCCAATAGCACAACTTACGTCGTAATTCTCATCAGCTGTGTAGAAAGTTTCAGTTTTCTTATCACTCGAATAACTCTCGTCATCGTCATTACTTTTCTCATCAAATGTAATTCGATCAAGAGAAGAGTCACTGAACATTGATTCTGTCGAGCAATTAAGATGATTTTCCGGATCCATTAACATCATTCGACTAACACTTCTCGTCATTTTCATTTCAGCGACACCCAAAAGCAACTGCAATGTGTCAATCATCGCTTCTTTATTCACATCCCAACTGTCTTGAAGCAGCAGCAACTTCAACTCTTCCAATGCTGTTGACATTTTTGCACCTAAATACAAATCTAATTAGTCGACTTAATTTATTTTCATTCACAACACGACAAACTAACGTCTTGATGTGTACAATCGCGCGCACAGTTTGTGTTTGTTTCAAGGAATTTTTATTTTTTACAAAGACAAAAATTGTTATTTGTAATTTGATAGTAAAGCCAACGAACAGGGTGACGGTAAAATATGAAAGAAAAATGCTGTTCGGTTCAAAGATAATTGGAGTTGTTTACTTGTGTGAAGTTTTATGGTTTCTACTGGTAATTAACAACTCTGAATAAAATAAAATTAAAACTTACTGAAACTGATGTTGTCAGATAATCGCCAACAAATATCGAAACAATTTCTAGCAATCGACGAAAGATATTTAATTCCACATTTTCCAGTAATTTCCTCGATAATATTCTTTCGATAAATTGCTTCCAATTCCTTTTCTTCTTCACTTTTCACAAATTTATTTAAAATATCAAGAAAGCGAGAACGAATTGCTTTTCTATGAAATATTTCCGTCCAACGTGTGTTCAACCAACTGTGATAGAAGTTGTTGAAATGATCATCGACGACGCTAATTTGTTCATGTTTCAAAGAGTTTTCAATCACATTATCAGTTAGGAAGACATCTTTGTGTACATAAACACGGAATTTAAAGTCGTTATCTGAACCACAACGACGGCGGAAGATTAGGCAATGATTATCATCATCTCGTGCTCTTCTCTTCATCTTCTCTAAGAAACTTTCGCTTATCTCATGAAGCTGATAACTTCGTTCGATCACATGTTGATAATTCACATCGTAGCATTGCACCATGACTGGAATTAATGAGTTACAACGTTTAAACAACACATGAAGTTCTTCTTCGTTGATCGTTTTCGGCTCGGGCGCGAATATTAATTTCTTCAATTCTTTTTTTAATAAAATTGAGTTCAAAGCATTGTAAGCGATTGTGAAGAGAATATTTCCGTTGAAATTATTATAAATATTAGCAATAAATTCCCGTTGAAATGATGAATCTTTCGACATTAAATCACAAAGAATATTCCAATGAATTGTGTTTAATAAAAGAACATCCAAGTTGGTGAGTGGTTCCTTAATCGCCACTGTTCGTTCGTCGAGAATCTCAAAATCTGCAGCATCGTTGGCACTTTTATCGGAAGTTTTGTCAGATTCAGTGATGCTGTCGCTTAATGGAATATCTTTTGGTAAATCTATTCGTCCATAAATGTCCATCATTTCACGAATTAAATATAAAACATTCGAGAAGAAAATATTGTTAATTGATTGTGATATTTTTTCACGATGACCTTCATTTACGCCGAGAAATTTGATGTTTTCAAAGGCAATCTTTAGTAATTGACAAGCAGTTCCAGATAAAACTGGGATCAGTGTGCATTCCTTAAGATGATGAATCACATCAGCATTGAAGAACTGCATTAAAATTTTCTCTTCCTTCACTCCTTCATTAATGATTCTCAAACATGATCCAATAATAACTTTCGATTCAAATTGTTCATCAGGATTTCTCAAATATTTTCTCTTCTCTTCTTCGAATGTCGGCACAATGACATTAAAAATGAACTTTTGAAGGAAATCTTTGTTCATTTTCTTTTGAATATTCACCAAGTGATGAAGTAACGAATGAAGTTCCCAACCTTCACGTCGTGAGATTTCTTTTCTTAGCAGACTAAAATATTCGTCTTTGAAGTATTGAATATTCTTTTTCTCATTACAGAAAACACAAATTTGATCTTCATTAAACATTGGCTCGATGATCTTCCATTCAATGAAGCTCAGATATTGCATTGGTATCAGACTGGGTTGCATGAACATTTTTATTGTGTCAATTGTCGCATTGCAGCAACAAATTCCTTTTTTGCGCAATAATTTTAAAATTTTATTAAAATTTTTAAAACTTTTGATAAGCGGAAATGTTTCAAGCAAAAGTTTCTCAAACATGCAAGCATCAGCAAGTAAATCATGATGGCAATGCTTTATCGTCGGCTTCTTTCTCGTTTTATTTTCACCAAATCTTGCTTGATGAGCAGCTCTCACATTGCTAACAATTCTGATAAGAAATATTTGAATTGTATCAAGTAATTCCTTGTCATGACTCATCAATTCTATTCGCTTAGTAATCAAATGATTACACAACACGAACAAGTTTAAATTTTCCGTTTTTTGAATTGATTTTGTAACACATAAATTGTTGAGAATTGTCATGATGCTTAGAATGAATCCACAAGAAAGTTCGTTGCTGTCACTGAGCTCCAAAAGCGAGAAAAGTTTCTTGAAAATCGGCTCGATTGATTTTCCATCACGATTTATTAAATTATTTAAGCACATCATTGTCAGTTTGAGTAAATTTAATTTTATCACATTTTGATCGACATCGTTGAAAACTTTCTGCTCATGAAGATGATTCAAAGTGTCTAAGCTGAATTGAAGGCATCTCATTGTTACGGAATTTTTATCAGTTTGTTTCAAAGTGTTTGTGTTGTCAATAATGACGAGTTTTTGGAAGATTTTGATGATATGTTGAGCAAGTTGACTTGATGATATTATAGGCATTTCTTTATCCTTAAATTCTGATGATAAATAATCTTCAATGTCATCTGGGATGTTGCATTCATATGTTGATTCATTATTACTAAAGAATTTCACGATTGTCTTTGGTCTCAAATTCTCATTTATCCTTGAAGGATTTAACAGCCACAATTGTTTATAAATCTGCTTTACTTCATCTCTTGAAAGAGGATTCAAATATTGTACATCTGACGACTCATCCCACCTTTCATTAGGAAAGATCTTTGCCAGAACATTGACCAATTCATGTTCATTCGTCACATTCTGAAAAGTAAAACAAAACAATAAATCAAAGATGATAACAATTAGTAAAGTTTACTCACCGACAAATCTAGGTCAGCACTAAGTATGGTGATAATTTGACTACCGAGGCCACACGTTAGGAAATTACGAAGGTTCAAAACTGCATTCTTATCACGTTGACAGTCATTTGATGTCATCAAATTGCATATTGTTGAAAACAACAATTTTAATAAATGGTACGACATTTGGAATGATAAAGCTAAAAACCTTGAAGAAAAGGAGCAACATTTTTAATGAAACAATTTAATTAGGGGATTTGAAATTTTAAATTATTTACTTGTCACTTCCTTGAATAATTGGCATCAGATTTTGTCCATCCTTCTTATTTTTGTTATATTCGAAAATGAAGAGTTCTAGCCAAGATATCTGAAAGAATAAAACTGAGTCGTATCACTGAGTTCATCAGTAAGAATTACGCAGTTCATGCTTTCTCTTCTCCTTTGTTTACTCACACTTTTTGACTGCAAGTATTTTTCTAAAAATATGAGCATTTGCTCAATGTTTTTCATTTTTCATAGATTTTGATCACTTAATGTCATTGTTTTTTATCACTGTCTTAATAATATAGCACCTATTAACTTACGTGAGGATTGAATTTTTATGTTTTGTTTAATTTCTTTTCTTCTTCGTAATTTTGAATAACAAAAAAATTTTTTGCGTCAAATCAAGGGGTATGCAACTTTTTGCGTCTCACTTTCCGTTAATTCAAAAATTTCACATTTAACAAATATTCATAGAAAAACAAACTGCCTAACTCAACTTCCAACTTATGTCAATTTATATTTAATTATTGTTTAGTTAAACGAAGAACCTACTACTTAGTGAACCTTATAAATACATATAATCATGCCAAAAATAAGTGCAGTACAATATTTGGATGATTCAAGCGATAATGAAGAAGAAAACAACGAATCATCGTCCTATAGCACCAGTGCAAGTGCTGTGGATTCTTCTGTAAACTCTTCTGCTGCAGCAATTCAAAGTAATGTTCAGATTTAAAATTTTATTTATTATAAGAATTTAATTTTCTATTATTATTTTTAAGGTTCCCATGATGGATTACTTAGAAGTGAGAAAAAGGAAGAATCAGAAGGATCAGATCCAGATAGCATCGATAGTACAGTTGAAATGCCAGAAACTGATCCAGAAGATGATTCAGGTGTGAATACTCACGTTAAACGCAAAACAAAGATCAACCGTATTGAAGATGATGATGAGTCGAGTGATGAAGAAGTTCAAACGTCAAGAAAAAGTTTTTATGAAGTCGAATCTGACGATGAGGACAATGCAATTGAAGAAAAAGCATTCTCTAAAGCAACTCGTCGAAGTATTGACCCTCGCCATGTTCGTCCTTTGATAAATCCGAAATCTGACAGTGACGACTCCGATTCTGATGTCATTCTTGCAACTGATGATGAAGAGGAGAAAATTCAATCGAGAAAAACATTTGAAAATCGAAAACCTCTTCAAGATATGAATAATCGTCGAACAACACACATTTATGAGCGCTTTAACAACTCAATCAGCTCGAAAATGTCTTCCACATTATCGCAACAAAAAGAACTTCTCTTCGATGATGATGACGATGATGCTCAAGATGTAAAGCCAACTGTCAAAAAGGAAAACATTTCAATTGATTCCTCAGACGAAGTTAAAGAAATTATTCCAGAACCCTCTCCAGTCGTCAACATTGAATCAAGTTCTGAAGATGTGAAAATTGTGAAAAGAAGAGTTTCACGATCAGAATATTCATCACATGTTGCAAATAAAGAAAAGTTGGAAAAGGAAGTTCAAAATATCGTCGTTCTAATGTCAAATGCTCCTCATTTACCTGACAAAGGCGAGAAACTTAAACTACGATTGAATAAACTTCTTGAACAAATCGACAATGAAAAAATGTTGCTTGATCAATTGGAGATTGATGAGAATGAAAGTGTGAAGAGTCGAATAGCAAAAAGCTTTGAATCTCCTGAGAATTCAGCTGTGAGTGTTCATGACAACAAAGATCCATCAATTGAACTTATTCAGGATGTCGTACAAGTTCAACCAAAATATACTGGAAGAGTTGGCTTGCAGAACTTTGAAATCCAAAAAGCTTTGACTGTTGAGAGGCTGGAAACCATTCAACAATCAATCGATTCACGTCCATTAGAAACTGTCCTCGCAAAACCACCAAAACATCTCAAAATTGAGCTCATGAATCATCAACTTCATGCGATTGAGTTCATGATGTGGCGTGAGACACAAAAACCCCGAGGTGGAATTCTTGCTGACGATATGGGATTGGGCAAGACACTCACAACAATCAGTTTGATTTTGAAGAATATTCAACGAGCTGAAGATGATGGCGAGGAAAGCGAAAGTGACAGCGATGACGAGGAAAATGAGCCAAGTGGATGGAAAGTTCGTGGACGAAAAGATCACATGAAACAAGGCGGAACTTTGATCGTTTGTCCAGCTTCTTTGATCAAGCAATGGGAACATGAAGTGAAAACAAAAGTCAGACGTGGAGCTCTTGAATTGAATGTTTTTCATGGCAACAATCGAATCACAAGAGCTCGTGAATTGTCAAAGTTTGACGCAGTTGTCACCACTTATCAAGTTGCTGCCAGTGAGTTTAAAAACCAAGGAGTTCTCTTCAATATAAAATGGAACCGAATTGTTCTCGATGAGGGCCACATAATTCGCAATCACAAGTCAAAGCAATCAGAAGCTGTTTGTTCAATTCCAGGAAAATATCGATGGGTGTTATCGGGAACGCCCATTCAAAATCGTGAATTTGATCTTTATGCTGCTATCAAGTTCTTAAAATGTTCGCCATTTGATGATTTGTTGTATTGGAAACGTTGGATTGAAGTTAACAAAGGAAAAGATTCATCTCCACGTGTTCAAGCCTTGCTCAAGTCGATAATGTTGCGCCGAACCAAGCAACAACTTATGGAAAGTGGTGAGATTGCATCATTGCCAAATAAAACATTCCAACAGATAAATGTGAATATGAATCGAGAAGAACGTTTCGTTTATAACAAGTTGATGTCATTTTCACGAAACATTTTCGCAAATTATGTTGAACAACGTCAACAAAGGAATGACAACTTTACTTATGATCAAAACCGTTTAGGAAAGTTACATAAAAAGTTTGCACAAAAATTCAACGTTGATCGTGAAATTCAAGCGCATGAAATTCTAACACTTTTGTTGCGACTTCGTCAAACTTGTTGTCATCCTGGTTTGATTAAACAAATGTTGCAAAAAGGCGAAGTTGATGTTGAGGTGGCTGGAGGAGATGTTGCTGGTTCTGATTACAAACAAGATGATTCTGATGCTGACCTTTTGGAGGAACTTGAGAAATTGAATCTTGAAGATGATGAAGTAGACAATGGAAATCGATTTACTCTCGAAAACGAAGTTTTTAACTTACACAATGCAAGCTCAAAAATGATAAAAGTGATGGAAATTTTACGCGAAAATGTTCTCGGAACTGATCACAAAGCAATCATTGTAAGTCAATGGACGTCATATTTAAGTCTTATTCGTGATCTTCTTCAGAAAGATGGTGTCAGTTACTGCGAGTTGAATGGAACAATCCCAGTGAAATTTCGAAATGACATTGTCGTAGATTTCAATCTGAAGACTTCACGAACCAAAGTCATGTTATTGTCATTAACTGCTGGTGGAGTTGGCTTGAATTTAGTTGGTGCTAACTTCTTGTTTTTATTGGATCTTCATTGGAATCCGCAACTTGAACAACAAGCACAAGATCGTATTTATCGCTTTGGTCAGTTGAAAGACATCACAGTGTTCAAGTGAGTAGTTAATTATAGTTTAAAGAATAAAAATTAATAATTTCCACCCACACAGATTCGTTACCACTGATAGCATTGAAGAGATGATTTTAAATCTTCAAAAAAAGAAATTAGAAATCGCAACAAGTTCGCTAACTGGTGCCAAGAAGAGTGATGGAAGCAAACTTACAATGGATGATCTGAAGATGCTTTTTTATGGTCAAACTGAATAAATTTCCTTTCTTCTTTTTACAAAAATATTTACATAAACTTAAAATTATATTTTAATAAACTAATTAGAAAACATATTTTTGTATTTTAATTAAACTTTTACAATCCTTGCTCTTATTACTTTACAATGAATAAAACATTTTCGTCAACAGTATTTAATTTTATTTATTCAAAATGGAGACATAAAATGTTTTGTATCAGAAAATGATTCTTTTTATCTGTAACTTCAAAGTTTTCTTTAATCTTTAACATTGTTAAATGTAGAATGTTCGTCATTAGCTTCGAATAAACACTCAGCTTTGTCTGTAGGTTGTTGATGTGATTGTTAATTTTAGTAGCTAAAATTTAGTTTTATTACCTTGTCTTAAAGCCGTTATACTTACTTATATGGTTCATTTATTTTTAATTATTAAACATTTCCAAGTGAATTTCAATCATATAAAACACGGCAAACATTTAAATTCAGAAACTTTGTTGAAGCTTCAATTCATGCAATGACTTTGTAAATAACTGGAAATTACATAAATAATAATAATGCGTAAGAATTTTTATATCTCCGGAGTACGTAATTTTAAATATATATTTAATGTTTAAAGATTTATAATATAGCGTAAGTAGCTTACTTAACTTGTTCTGCTAACTGAACAAGATGAAAACTTGATGTGCTTGTCTTTGAGAAGTTCTAAGTGGATGTCTAAGATAATGATGCAGGTTGAAGCAGTGCAAGTATTAGCAAAGACAACATGAACAGTAATTTCTCATTTTTTCAAGCTCCCATGATATTTCATCCTTGCTTTCATCAACATCATGATTGACATTTTTTCTCGACATCGAGTGATATTTCTACCATTAATTTTAATTGTTCGCCAGACAACTGTCCCATGGACATTGTCCTTGTACCATAACAATCTATAATTGATTTTTACAAAAAAAAGACGTCGACGCGATCTTAAATTGTTTCTCATTAAATGAAAAATCATTTTTGCACAAAAATGTTTATAAAGCTGTTTGGTGGAGTTGAGAATGAAATGGAAAAACTGGATTCTTTCAACGAAGCTGGAGAGATGCAATTTGGAATGTTGAATGCGTTTCTGATGATCTCTGTGAGTGTCTAACACTGGAATTCAATGAAAAAACTTGTAAAGCTTATTAAATACTTGAACACTCCCTCGTTTGATCAACATTTTATAAGCAGCAGCAACCATCGTCCAATTCCAATCCTGGATTTTTGATCGATCGTTTAGCAATTGTAATTTTTTTTTCTTCTGTCTTTAACGTTTTCATGCATGTTTCCCTTCGTTTATTCTTCTTACATGAAAGCGATTGCAATTATGAAATTCAATTTTTTTTTCTTTCTTCATGTGTGCACTGGCATCTCTTGAATCTCTTTATGTTGCGAAATAGTCGAAGCTGAGAGAGAACAAAAGGCCGCAAATGTAAGCGATGAGTCTTCTTATTCGTCTTCTTCACCGCCTTTACCTCAACCAAGAGCCTTTTAAAATGCATTTTTCTTCGACATCGCTTTTCCAATACACACCGCGATTCCCAAGAACATGTTTTGCCGATGCTGTTTGCCCATATTAAAGACAAGAAAAGGAGAAGAAAAAAGACTCATAAGAAATTCACGTTCTTGACTCTTTTTCTTTCTCTCGAAATGGGTTCTTTCTCGAGTTCTTTTAATAACATACCAATACTTTACGTGGAGATACTTTATAAATATTGATATTTGGCTCGATGCATTTCTTTCTTCTTCTCCAACTTCTTCACTGCCGTCGTTGGTTTTTTTTCTTCTTTCTTTTCCTTCTTGCGTCCGTTTTCTTTATCAATAAATCTTGTTTAAAAATGAATAAATCTTAAAATGCTGGCTTGGGCTTTTCGCGAATAGCGAGTGGAGGTTCAATCGTTGAAGGCTGCTGTAGTACAGGAAAGCGGGCGACATTTATGGAATCGAGACGTTGTAAGCGACTAAACACTGGAAATACTTTGAGTGGATTGTCCTTTTACGAATGCCATGTGAACTATCGTGAATTTTTAATGAATTTCTTTACTTTTTTTATTTATTTATTTATTTAATGAGTTGCATAATTTTTTTGTTGTTCGCTTATCTAGAAATACGGGAATGGAAATGACAGCATTCTCGTCGAGTTTCTTTTTAAATATTATGGTTTTTACAGAGAAATGCACATGGTTATTTGATTTATAACTATCCAGTTAAATTATTGTCTTTCAACGGCTTTAACTCTTCTACCTACATAGTCGTTCAATAAATGTACGTTAAAAATATTCATAAATATCAAAGTTTTCAACTCACATTTTTGTGTTAGAAGCGTTAAACAGAAATTCCATCTCTTTACATATCAAGTCCATTGTCGAGACATTTTGTAAACCTTCCATTACAGACCTTAAAGAAAAAAAATGTTGTGTTTGAAGAATGCTTGTTTAAATAGGTAAATTATTAAAATAAACATCAACAAACAAAATTCTTATCGTTATTTCGTCAAGACCAAGTAAGAGAAAAAAAAAACTTCACCGTCACGATGAAGACGGAAAAAAGCAGTTGAAAAGTTGATGAATATGTTGATTAAGGACATAAAAGTCAGGAACGAACTTTGGGGGTTGTGTTCGTTCCTCAACGCTTTTCAATTTTCATTCCGATGCCCGCTGTGCTGTTGCTAACCAATTAATTTCAATGATCAATCATTTACTTTTGTAAAAAATGCCCTCAAGCAACGAAAACAAAAAAAAATTCTGTGCACTCAAAAGCGCATTAAATATTGGCATAAAATCACATGTACAAACATAAAAAGAGTGAGTGAGTGAGAGAGAATGAAAAAAAGCGAAAGTTTCTTCTCAACACCCTTCTTAAAACAATTGGTCAAAGAAAATCTTGGCAGACAAGAAGAAGTTCTGAGATTTTTTTTGTTATTTATACATATAAATATTCTTTGGCTTACATCAAACATACAACATAATAATCTCTCACACTATGATAAAGAAGTGAAGAACAACGCGGCTGCATTTGGCGTAAGAAGAAAACCGAAATATAAAAGCGATACAGAACTTGAAGAAAGCCAAGAGAATGAGAGAATGGATGTTGCGACGTGTTGAGAAGAAGAAGACAATCCTCGTCCGATTCCCGAAGCTCCCGCGATCATATGCAACAGAAATATCATTTCGTAGGATCAGATCACTCTTGTGTAAGCCCTCGTAAGGGTTAGACGTGAATAAAAATAAATCCACTGTTCGATGATTGGAACTTTCCGTCAATGAAGTTAAAGCATTTCACAGTTGGATAATTTAAGAAATAATTTCTGTTTAAAGGTGAAGAGTTGAGTGTTGAAAAGAAATCAAGTGGAGTGAAGTCAAATCAAGTGCTTTAAATGGATAAGAAAAAAGTTTAACAATTTTTTTTATAATTTACAATTCATGTGCGAAGAAACGACGCATCATTTTTAAATATTTCATCAAAAGATGCGTTTGTTCAGTTCGTTACATTCACGAATGAAAAAAAAAGAAAGAAAAGACAAGAAAGGAAAGAAATCCAAGCGAAATCAAGGGCAAAGCATGAATTGCGCTAATAAACGAAAGGGAAAACGTTGCACATCACAGAGTTGCAGTTGAAAGGCGTTCGAAAGAAAATTTAATTATGTACAAGAACTTGCATCATGTTCTCATCATGCATCATAAAAGAATGAAAGTTCTTAAGCGATGTTTCGCCTCTGCAATTGCCTTGAAATGCAGTTTTTATTATTTTTTTGTCTTGAATCGTTTTGACAATGAGAATGTGCATAAAGCAAGAAATGTCTGATAACTTCTTTCTCATTTTACTCGCCTTCTCATTCTCTTACAACACATATAAAGACTTCGTTGCAGTTTATTTATAATGAACATTTTAAAATCTGAATTCACTTTTTTTCTGTATATTTCGGTACGGCAAAGCATAAGAACTTTAGAGACAACATAAAAAGGGTTTGGATGGTGGAAAATGCAACGGGGAGAGAAGAAGAATGGGAAACGAATGCAAGCAGCGAAAAGAGACGAGAAAGATATAAAAAAAAATCCAGACACGTTTTTCTTCTCGTTTATTATAAAATTGCAGTTTTTTTTCCTTCACGTCTCTTATTGCACATCGCGCTAGCTCTAAAAAGGGAATCAAGAATGAAATAAGTGCCTCACAGGCTTGTAAGAAGAAAACAAAGCTCTTGGAGAAACATGACATGATGAAGCTAAAGTTGACTTCTTCTTCACCTCCGTCATGATTTCTAAGACTTATTAGCTCAACACACTTGTTGAATTGTCTTCGAAAGAACTGATCATTGTCAATTGTGAGTTATGAATGACAAAAACTTTCAACATACAAAGCTAATAAAATTAATTTAAATTCGATAATCGTCACAATTTTACGCACAGAATGACGAAATCAATGCAAATCCCTCTAAATGAGAATTTTGTCTTCTTTCTTTCTTTAAAGATTTTTTTTCTCCATCTTTCTTTTCATCAGAGTCAAGGTCATGTTTTGTCTCGCAGCTCGAGAAGAAAGATAAATATTTTTGAAAGTCCTATGACTTCAGATTGCAAAAACCACAAAGCAAACTGCAACGTTCACATCAGCAATAAAGTCGATTTTTATGTTATTTTTTTCTGCGATGGAATTAGAAGAGGCTTTTATCACGACAACAAATTAAACGCAAGAAGGAATCGTCGGCATCTCATTCGTATTAAAAATTTTACCTGTTCTGCTAATTGTTCTGTTTTTACTGTGCGCGATCGCAGTAAATTGTCCATTTAACTGAAAATTTTCCCACTGACCGATGGTAGGGGAGTTTTTGTACGATTCATTGTTCCATTGCGCGAACTTCTTATTCATTCAACGTTTGCTCAACCTTAACACAATTGACAGAGGGAGCATCGAGTACATAACTTTTAGAAAAAAGAAAATAAAAGACTGGACCTTGCCACATCCGAATGCGTCGAATCGAGAGGATTTCTCTAAAGTTTTATTGTTCGAATCGAAATTGAGTAAAACTCGTTATCCTTTTTTATTTTGTTTTTGCTTGTGCAGTTTCTTTTTTGCTCCTTTTTCATTTCTTATAAAATAAATATAATAAATTTACGATTTTTAGAAAGATTTCATGAGGTCTTTGTCGATGGAAAAGAAGACTAATTTAATAGAAAAAAAAACTGTAATAAAAAGGGGGTTTAAGGAGAATTGTAATAAGTGAGAAACTTTTAAGATCGTGCTTGGGAATATTTCATTCAACATACTGGAAATATCTAATTAAATTAATTTTCTATAAAAATTTCAATCATTTCCTGACATTTCTAGAATTTCCTGTCATCATATCCACGATTTGTAACTGCAAACCTAAAAATCAGTTACAGAAAGCAACACAACTTGAAGAAGAACTAGCTCAATAAAATAATCATGAGACTTTAACACATCGAAATGTAAATAGTCGTAAAGAAGGTTCAAGGATCCTCAATATTTATTTTTCTTCATCAAACCGAAAAACTGTCATGTAAAAAAAAGTCCACAAAAGATCACGAGCAAAGCAAGAAGAATTTTTTATAAGAAACGAAATTTTTACTTTTGGGGAATGAGGTTGAAGGAAAAGCATCTTTTTACTTACAAAGATGAAGAGAAATCAAGTTTTCACGATATTGTCTAGCATTGAGATGAAGAAAAAAAAACTTCCCTTGAAGCGCGGGGAGAATAAGCGCGATCAGTCTTTAACAATGTAGTTTTAAAAGGATAAAAGCAAAGCTGAAATGATATATCATCAAATAAAAGCATTTTTACGAATAGGGATTGCACATCTCGCGCGAGTAATTTTTTTCACTGGATTATCTAATTGCATTGTTCGTCATTGCATGTGGAAAAAAGGAATTAAATTTTTATAAAGATGTTCAGCGGAAATTTTTCTTATTTATTTATGCTGATGCGCAACGTCGTGATGACCACTTTTTATGATGTGTAATCGAGTTTGATTTAAATGGACAACTTTCAGTAGTTGATTGTGTCTGCTTTTGTCATCACGAAGCTGTTTAAATGGGTCCATTGTTGGATTGTTAAAATGTTGCATTAAGGAAAGTCTTCAGTCATCAGTCTTATTTGTAACCGCTTTTAAGACATCTTGTTCTGGAATTAGCATCCGTTCAAAATCATTAACCACATCAATGTCTCTTACGCTCATTCGCTTTTCCGTTCTCTTGCAAAGATTTAATTGTCCATTTAACGTTCATAAAGCAAGCTTTTAAAAATTACTAGTGACTTCGTTAACGCATAAAATATTATTAAGAAAAGCATATTTGAGGTCCTTGAACGAATATAATGCTTTATTGATTGAAGGTCTGCTCTTAATTCCTTCAACTTGCACAAGTTCTTTCATTTCTGCATTCTTAATTTAACTTTTTTTTTCTTCTGAAGCGAGCGTGGAGATGATTTTCTCTCTCTCTCCTTCTCGCATATATCTGCGACTGATACCCAACCATTAGGTTGCAATTTACAACTTCTTAAGGTTATCGAACGAAAGGTTGATCGGGTTTTACTTCTTTTCTTTCCCTCTTTCTTGTCTTCTTTATAACTTTTTTTTTTGCCTCCAATCTTCCTTCTTCTTCTTGCTTATTCCTTTACCAACAACAACTTTTGCGTTACACTGATTTTCAGACTGTTTGCTGTCTCACAATGTGATCGCTTTTCAAGTTCGTCTGCATTTTACTGCAATGCAACAACGAGAAAGAGAAGGAACAAAGAGCGATGAAAAAAGCTTCTATTTGAGGTTTCTTTTATGGAATGGCACAACAAAAAAAAGTAGTAAATGAATGATGGACTATAATAAAAGAATCAATGGTATTATTTAACGCTTTAGGATTATCATGTTTCAGATTTATTCTTTTATTGGTTGAATCAAAGACAATCATCGTTCGTGAGAAGTTGCAGTCAAATGAATCATCGACAGGAAGTAGCTTCAGTTAAACAAATGAACGTTTAGGCTATTGGTAACTCCATCACCGTTGGCATGAATAATTCAACAGCCAATGGAATGAGAGTTACTTTGTGCCAAATGGTTCAATCAACTTTAATCTTTTCTACTTTGCTTCAAGACATCAACCAACTCATCATTAATGTTTACAACAAATCAATAAAAGTTTATGAAATATAATTAAATTTATTGTCCTATGAAATGATTACAATAAAAAATAAAAGAAACAAACAAATATAAATCAAAACAATTTTTCATTTCGTTTCAAAACTTTTCCATATCTCTTGCTAGATCAACGACTAGTTCCATAAAAAGTTGTGATTCAGCGGATGATGATGCAGGCAGTGAACTTTTAATGTAATCAATAAAGAAAGCAATATCATGTAAGCTTTGTTGCGTCCATTCATGTTTATAAAGTTGAATGCTTTGTTCGTTGATAATCTCAGTTGTGATGAACTTTTCCTTGACTAAATCAACCAAGAATTCAGCATAACATTGAAAATTCCTGCGATTTTTCATCTGCATCGTCACCAGAAAACTTGAACTGATGACATTTGAGAAAATAAAATTCTCAACTTTACATTTCATATGATTTTGCTTTCCAAGTGTTTGTTGAAATTTGAGATTTGTGAATGTCATCAATTTTTCATGGCGCCATAAAATATAAATTTTTCCTAACAATTCCTTTGTAACAAATTCACATCGATTAACAATTAAGAGAAGTACAAGTTGGAGGATATAAAAGCCAATGTTACGATAAGCATTTATAGGTAAAATTTGCTTATCGAGAACATCACTCGCTGCTTCAACACATTGCAATATGTCATTGAAGTCAACTTTTTCAGGATGTCGGCTTGTCTTGTGCAGCAATGTTTGAAGAATCTCAAAAAACTCCGCAGGCATTGTCTTCGCTGATATGTCAATAACGACATTACTCATCGTTCTAGTGTTCCCGTTAACGTTTGATTGATGATTTTCCATCATTTTTGTAGCATCTGCTTGAATGTCTTTCGAGAAGATTTCAATCGACTTGATGTTCGTTGATCGCCAATCTTCAATCTTTTCACTCGTTCTTTCGAGTGTAATGTTGAAAAGAGTTGTCTTAACATCATCCAATACTTCAATCGGAAGAAGAGCATTTAAAACTCCTTGAGTTCTCGTCACGCAATTCTTCTTTGTCTCTTCCATCCAAAGATCTTGCAACATTTTTAAATGTTGTTGATAAACTTCAATCATTTTCTTCATCAAGACATCGTGATTTTGTGATGATTGTACAAGTTTTTCCGCCTCTAATCTTGCTGCTTTCTTCATGCCAATCAAACATTTTACTTGAAAGTCTTTAACTACAGCTGATGTTACACGATCAATTGTAAACTCGATAATTTTCTTCATTGACAAGGTTTGTGAACCCAAAAATGCTTCAATTAATCGCTCACGGTTATCTTGCGATTTCGTTTTTTCAACAAAAGATTTTTCTTGAATTTTTGTTGTGATGTGTCGATAACGACCAGTTCTTGAAACTGCTCTCGTTATTCTTTGAGGCATCATAGACACACGAAAATCAGCAAGAAAGGGACAAGCGACATTTAAAATTGCTTCAAGATGTGGATTTAAGTGATCAATGTTGTCAATCTTCGAAGTTGTTGAAGACTTTTCATTCATTTGCAGACGTCCAAGTGTTGATTGCTTTTGATTTTCGACAAGAAAATATTCTTGAGGTATTTCCGGATGATCAAAAAGCCATCCAAGACATATCCTGATGATAAATCGTGATGTTGGCAATTTACACAAAGAATTGCTATCAATCATCGTATTGACTCTCAAATAAATCGAGTAAAGAATTTGAAAAGTCTCGCGATAATATTCTAAACGAATTGTTATGAAATCAAGCATTGCAAGATATTCAACAAGCCATGGAATTGTCACTAATAGTTTATGACCATTCATCGACTTCAAAACAATTTGCTTAACATCAAAATCTGGATGAAGCTGTGAATAAAATTAAACATTAAAAGGAAATTCTTAAACTCCAAAATGTTTCTTTCTCACCAAATTCCTAACTTGAAGTTGCTTTTGATCAACCAAAACATTTCGATAACCATCAAAAGTGTAAGGACGTGACACTAAAAATCCAACAAACTTTGCAAGAATTCTCATCGTTGTCATCGTTTCAGGTCTAACAATAAATTCGTCTTCACCATTTAATGAATCATTTCTCTCATCATTTGCTGTGATTGAAACTGCATCCATTGATGAATCATTAAGTTCCATTAGTTCGCTGATAAGAGAAACTTTCAATTGTTCCATGAACATCATGTGCTGATCACAACAATTGATGAAGTCACGAAAGAAAGCTTGATTACCAGGAAACAAATATTGAGTGCTGAAGACACTTGGAGCGACTAAACGTTGTCTCAACTTTGATAACTTTCCCAAATCAATATTTGGAAGGACCATTTGAAGTTCATTAGCAGAATTATCAAAATTACACGAAATTATCAGCTGTGCTGTGAAGAGTTTCGCTAAATGTGCCATGTTGATTGGATGTTCCATTAAAATGATTAGTGATCGAATTTTTAATCCTAAATTCTTCTTAAAATCCCAATTGCTGTTTAAATGCATCAATTCCCATGTCCTGAGAATCGAATAAAACATGTCACGTTGTTTCTTAAATGCACTAAATTCCTTTTCTGATGGAAAGTTGTCACGATTGTCAGTTTCATGTTGATAGAACACAACTTGATTAAAATTATTTCCACTTTGCTTGTTAAGCTTTTGTGTTGTTGATATGTCGAGTTGAGATTTACGTTGAAGAATGATTCTTAAAAATTCATAAAGCTCCTTTGTAATCATTCGAATCTTTTCATTTTCAATGAGAACACGAATTGTCATAACATCAAGCAGTGCAATTGTTTGCTTTTGATAATTAAGAACGCATGAAGTGAAATAAATGCAATTGTCTAATTTCTTTAAAAGACTTATTGTGATATCTGTGAATGAAAGACTTTGTGATTGAACATTTCGCTGTTCTGATGGTTCTTGCTCGATGTTAAGGAGATTAAAAAGATAAGAAAATTCATTCAAGATATTAGGCAACAAATTTAAATCGAGTAGAAACGAATAAAGTTTTGCCATCGATGACAATAAGTCTGGCCTTTCAACTTTTATTTCGTCATATTGAAATGAAGCCTTTCGTAAGCTCTTTGGTGTGTTTGAAACCGAAGCAAGACTCTCTCGGACAATCGAGTGAAGGTTTTTTTGCGGCGTCACATCAATGTTATTAAAATCTTTCGTTATTTCGTCGCGTTGAGAACGAAGCAAGTTTCTGTCATTGAATAAATTTCCATCTTTTTCCAATTCGACTGTCATGACATTCAAAAGATTATTTTCACTTTGAAACGAAGATGAGATGAATGTTGTGGAACCACCTGGACTTTTGCTTGATACTGTCATTGGCACGACTCGTTTCTTTGGCTTCTCTTTCTCCTTGATTGAAACTTTTACTTCTTGTTGAGATTCACTGCCAAGTGATGGAAAGTCACATTGAGAGAATTTCGGTGTTTGTTCTTGACTGCTTTGTGAATCATTCAATTTCTTTTTATTTCCTTTGCCTGAATTAGACACTGTAGATGCATTGAAGAAGTCACCGAAGCATAAAGAAGAAGAGCTTGTGTTACGACGATTTGTTGAATTGTTTCTGCTACTAAGATCTAAGCTGTTTTTTGAAGAATTATTCAAATGAGTTGAACTATTATCGATAAGTGACAATGCATGTTTTGAATTTCTAGAGCTTTGTGGTGTGCTCGTGTTGATTGGAGTGCAATCATTAAAACGATTGGCTGATTTTGACAAGGAAGTCGACCTTGGCGTTGAAGAATCCAAACATTGGTTCCCTTCAAAATGGTTTGAAGGACTTTCCTGCTGTCTTGACTTCCTTCGTTTTGTAAAAGAATTACTCATCTGATTATTACAAAACAATTCTCGAGATGATTGTTTCTTGTTTTTCTGACTTTCATTGTTGCTCACATCTCCGATTTTTGATCTATTCGGATTCGATTTCTCTATTACATTTCTTTCAAACATAACATCTTGAAAAATTAAATCAGGATTGTTCTCTATTGTTCCTGAAATGGTATTCTTCCTCGGAGTGTTGCATGTGGAAGTATTGTTTTTGATGAAATCATCAGTTTGTGATTTTATGAGATTGAAATAGAAAATAGCAAAATTTTCCACACTGCATAGTTTTTTTGATTTTTTAAATGTTTCTAGGATCCATTCATCAGCTTGTTTACTCTTGGGGATCTTGGTAATAAGCTCTTCAAACAATTTCTCGGACATCTTAAAGAGAAACAAAAATGTAAACAAATCATTCGTTTCTGAAATTTTTATTCACGATATTACCTTGGTTGTTAAATGATGATTTCTCTTTTAATGGTTATCTATTTAATCTGACTTATAAATGTTGAAAAACACTCCAAAAATATTAAACCATTTCTTTTAATTTAATAAGATTCTTTATTTGTAGATTACTTGTAATCTTGAGATTTGTTTTTCCGAGTACTCATGAAGTCTTATGTTGGCGTCATGCAGTTGATTCGGGAGACCACAGTTGTTTAAATACGGGTATTTAAATACGGGTAGATAACCACTTTCCTTCCCCTTACAATCTTTAGAACCCACAGGGTACGAAACTATATTTTCCATTAAAAATTTCGTCTAAGAATCATCAAATACCTAATTTCTCGGGTGATTTATGAAAAAAGATTGAGTAATTGAAGAAAAATAGACACTTAAATAGTGAAAAAATAAACAATCAGACCTACTTAAGATATATAAGTGAAAGGGTGAAGAAAAAATCATTGATAAACAATATAAAAAGCACAGTGAAATTTGGTTGCATTAAAGAATAAATGTTTTCTGAGGTTGGGAAAGATTCTTTTTTCTCGCTTCCATCCAATTCAAATTACAAAGAAATAAAAAGAAATTAATAAGTTCATTTTTCAATTACAGCGAATGAATAATAAAGGAAATCAACATCAAGGTAGGAAGTGACTCATAATGTACAAAAGAAGTTTTATTTGGAAAAAAATGCCATTTTAAGAACACGCGAAAACTGTGAAGAGTGCAGAAAAGAAAGATTAGTTCAATGCCTATAAGTGATGTCACAAAGAATCTTTTTTTCTCTCTACGCCCACGCATTTTCAATTGCAAAAGAAATAATCCTTCGTATGATATTTCTAACAAAACTGCGTTGACGTAAATTGCGATTCTATCAAAGTTGATAACACAAAACATATAATAAAGGAATCAAATCTTCTTTTTTCATTTTACAGTTACTTGAAAAAAAAAACAGAATTCTTCAGAACTTCTTCGCCACTTCTCGTTCTTTTCCAATTGTTTGTGTTTCTAAGAATGTGAATGCCTCAATCAAAATATCAACTCGGAACTTCTGTGTTTTTTTTCTTCTTTTAATTATTTGTTGTTGGGTGGCAATGAGAAAAAAATAGCTGTAAATGCGTTTGAAAATTGTTGGCAATTTTTTTATTATTCTTTCATTTCATTCTCTTTGATGAAACCGAAATGCGGTGTTTGTAGGGAACAACTAATCTAAACTGCAGCAAATTGCGAGTCGCAATTTGAGACTTTGGATTTTCATTCTTATCGGTGGTTTATTTTAATTCTAATTTTTATTCTTGCTTCGGTTGAACGATAATCTTAGTTTAATGAAATAAGAGTCAAAAATAAATAAAAAATTGTTTGACCTCATTTTTTTTGACTTCCTAAAGCATCTTCTTATGAGATTCTTTGGCTAAAGTTTGCTTCTCGAATTATTCTTATCATCTTATGAATCACCTTTTCCTTGAAGAAAATATTTTTATTACTTTAACTTAGAACTTCTCGGCATATCTTTGTAATAATCAATCTTCAATGTCAGAGAATTAATGCAACAAGTTCAATAAAATCTCTAAGGAATATCATTAACCCTTGCTGATGTACATATTTGTCGTCCATTGACCTCACACCGTAGATATCTTTATTTTCTTTTCTTGCGCACCATATTCAATTCATGATGTCGCAAATTTTTATTTCTAAAATGATTTCAAAAGTTTTTTTCTTATCGATGAAAGTTTTTTGATTATTTTTGTATTTCAGGCAACAATGATAATTCGTGGGGAGGACAAAATGTGAGAAAGTCTTTTGAAAATTATTACAACAATCGTAGCGATTATCAGCATCAACAACATGATGGAGGTAATAAAATTGAACAACGGATGCAAAACATGCGATTGGATAGTGGAGCTGGATCAAACTCATTGGGTGGAAGCAACAAGACAACAAACGAACACAAGGAGCAGGGACCGAAGAAGATGACTTGGGCGACGATTGCAAGCCAACCGGCTAAACCTCAAATCAGTACGACAAGCACGACAATTAAGAAAAAAGGCTTTGGTCCACCCCCTCCGATGATCCCTGGTAAACACAACATGGACTTGACTGATGGATGGGACACACCAAAAAATGGACCTTTGGTGCCACCGTCACCACCAGTAATTCAACCACCACAACCGGAATCCATTGAGAAACAGAACAATTCCAATTTTGAAGGACAACCGGCTTGGCCAACGCCTGGTCAAGCTCAAAATCAAAGTCAGAATCAAAATCAATCGCAGTCAAGTGGTGGTAATAATTATTCGACTCCACAACAACAGCAGCAACAACCACCGCAGCCACAACAACAACCACAGCAGCAGCAGCAACAGCCACCGCAACATAACAATAATAATCGCGGTTATCATCCTATGAATAATAACAACAGCAACAACAACACTAACAACCAGAACAACAATTACCAAGGACATTCGGGAAGGCAAAATTATAATCAAAATTCGTCATCTGGTCATCATCATCAGCAACAACAACAGCATCATCATCAGCAGCAGCAGCAGCAATACAATTCGTCTCATCATCACAATGACTTTCAGAAACCTTATCATCAACATCCACATCAAATGCCGTCAGCGCCACAAAATCATCAACCACCTAGTGCGCCTATAACTCGTTCAGCTCCCCCACCTCCACCGCCAGTCGCGGCTTCAACATTCATAACGTCATCTGATGCAAGCGAAGATTCAATTCTTGAACAGTTGCGTGTTAAGAATCAATATAATCCATCAGAGCTTGACTTATCGCAAGTTGGAAATGCCAGGTAAGTTCTTAAAATAGAGAATTAAATTGAAGTGACAATGACAGTAAATTTTCTCAGATTCTTCGTCATCAAATCCTATTCGGAAGATGACATACATCGCAGCATCAAGTATGAGATTTGGTGCTCAACAGAGCATGGCAACAAGCGCTTAGATCAGGCATTCCGTGAACGTGAGAAAGAGCAGGGAGTTATTTACCTTTTCTTTTCAGTTAACAGCTCTGGTCATTTCTGTGGCGTCGCTCAGATGATTACACCAGTTGATTATAATTCAAACTCAAGTGTTTGGTCACAAGATAAATGGAAGGGATCTTTCCGTGTCAAGTGGATTTATGTAAAGGACGTTCCGAATACGCAATTGCGTCACATTCGGCTGGAGAATAATGAAAATAAACCGGTGACAAATTCACGTGACACACAAGAAGTTCCGAATGGTCATGGAATTCAAATGATGAAAATTATTCATAGCTATAAGCATACAACTTCGATTTTTGATGATTTCACTCATTACGAGAAGCGTCAAGAGGAGGAAGACTCACGTAAACACGAGTCTCATGATGCTTACCAGAAGCCGATGACTTTACCTCCAAGTCATCACTCAACGCATAATCGAGAGAATATGAATCGTCAGCAGCAATATGATAACGGTGGTGGACGTTCCTTTGACAGGGACCGAGACTACAACGGATCTTCATCATCTGTCGGGTACGACCGTGGTGGAAATTATAACAATGGAAGTAGCGGCTATAATAAATATGGCAGCGGTAATTCAGGTGAAACTTTATCCCCTTTTTTATTTGAAGATTTTTGAAGTTAATTACATTTGTGTTTAAAGGATATAACAATGACTTCAAGCCATCGTTCAATGGTCGCGGTGGATTCCATAAGCGAAATGATTTTCGTAATGATCGTAACAATGATCAACAATCGGGTGGTTTTTATCGCGCTAAACCAGATTATCAACAGAATGATGATTTCGGTGGTAATCGCGGCGGTGGTTATCGTTCTGTAAGTGTCACAAAGTTTAATTTATTCTTTCACGTTATGAACATAAATTTTCTTTTTTAAGGATCGTGGTGGATCACGTGGTCGAGGAGGATTCCGTCCCCCAATGAACCACAATAATTAAGTGAATAAAAGGTTAAATAAAATGAAAGCAATTTTCTTTTCCTGTGCAAAACTGATTAGGAAAGAAAACAAAAAAAAAATAACAATTTAAAACTTATGTAATCGTAATCGTAAAACAAAGAAACATTTTTTTCATTAAAATGAATAGTTTGAGTGGCCCAATAATCTTCGTTCCTTTTTTTCATTTGCAAGTGAAAGCCGTGAAAGAAAACGAAAGAATTGTGGATTTATCTATTAAAACAAGGAAAAGAAAAAATGGTGAAAAAAAAAATACTTTTTGCACTCTTAAGAAAATCTACAAAAAAAACTTTTATTGAATGAACATGAATTCAAATGATAACAAATTTAACGTAACATTAATTTCCTAAACACAAAACAAGAAAAAATAAACATAAATAAAATAAACAGTTGCAAAAACATTGATGTTTAGTCTAAAAAAAATAAAAAGTGAAAAAAGTGTTTTTTCAAAAAAATATAAAAGTTAAAAAATCTACAAAAAAAAATAAGATGTGACTATTAAAAAAGAAGGAAAGGAGAAATCTGCAGAAGAAATAAAAGAATAGTTGTGTCGCTTATCGATCAACAACCCTCCAAGAATGGACAACAGCATTGAAGGCGAATTTCATTACAAGCGCTGATCGAACTGAAAAGTCAAAAATCTTTTCTGTTTTTCATTCTTTTATCTTTCATTTCAGTAAACTCCTTTCTTACATTTCACTTAGCGAACCGGCAGTGTTGGATCGTGATGAAATAGTTTTATGTTTGTGCAACAGTTACAACATAAGACGAAACTTTATAACATTAATTTTATTTCACATTCGTGAAAAATTATCAACAACTTCAAATGAAATGTTAGCAACAAAACCTCCCTTTATAAATAAGCAATTGATGTAACGCCCTGAATATAATAAGTAAGCGTGTCAATGTAATGAAGCGCAGAGATGAAAAGATTGCAATTTATGAAATGATGATACAAGTAAATTAAAATTTGTAACTAGACGATAAAAAATTATGAAATGGAGAAAAGAAAACAACAACACTATTGATACTTTTTTTGATTTTTTAATATCTAATAAGTGAATAAATTCTATATCTAATGAAAAATATAAATAATAAAAGCTTATTAATTAGGCATTTGTTTTTATTTCAGATGCTGAAAGATAAATTTAAAGTTTCTTTTAATTTCAGTCCACTGAAAAATGCGATTCGCAAAAAGTTCGGATTAGCTCAAAAATTTAATCCCGATTAAAATCTCATTTTTAGAACATCAAAAAATTGAAAGAAAAATTTACGGAAAAATATCAAAATGCGTGTTTCTATGCTCCGTAACATTAAGTTTGCACCTAGTGTGAAAGAATTTAGACTTCATTTATGCCAATCAAGTGCAGAATCGAAAGGAGCAAGGTGAGTAATTGAACATTCTTGTTATGCAACTAAATTTTTATTTGTTTACATTTTTCAATCATAGAGATTTTGTGGAAAAATTTTATGTCAACATGAAACGCGAAAATCCACAACTTCCCATCTTAATCAGGGAATGCAGCGGTGTGCAGCCACGGTTATGGACCAGATTCGGTAATACATTAGTTAAACATTATTAAAGAACAATGAAAATCAATGAATAATCTTTGGTCATTTTAGAACAAGGCAAAGAGAAGTCGGTGCCACTAACAAACGTTTCTGCTGATGAAATCTTGAAATTAGTGGAGAGTACAAAATAAATAATATGTAGAAAAATGTAATTCTTAAATCAGTGAATAAAAAATAAATGTGAAATAAAAATAAGAACACTGGATTTGGTTTTATTTCGTTTTGCTGGAACCTGAGATGAGTTGACTTAATTCATAATATTTACTTTATAAATTTAATTAAAAAGTTGCTAAACGATTCTACATTTTCATTCATCCAACACTGATATCATTACTATATTAGTTTAGTTGATAATTCTTAACAAATAAATCGTGACGAAAATATAAATTCTTTTCAAGCAGTTTTTAAGTCCCACAAATAAAGTCAGTTTATTAATGCCAAGTGTAATTATAATTTATTCGAAAAATAGAAGTCAGATTAAATTTTTAGAAATTTAGAGAAAATGAAAGTTTTAACTCAACCATCTCATAAATTCGGACTGAGTTTCGTTTTCGGCTTTTTTAATGGATTTTTATGGACTTTTATTTATTTTTATGAAGACAATTCATTTCTCTATGCGACTTTAGTCAAAAAGGTTTTTTTCCTACATTATATTTAATTTCCATTCATGCATTTTCTTTTAATTATGAAGGAAGTCCTTCCACAAGTATACGTCATAACACCCACCTACAGACGACAAGAGCAGTTGGCTGATTTAACCAGATTAGGGTACACGTTGAAGCATGTTCCAAATTTGTTATGGCTATTAATAGAAGACTCTGATTCACTAAATCCACTTGTGGCGGATCTTCTAAAGAAAATTAATGTTCCTTTCGTTCATTTAAATGGCAAGGTGCTTTCAATTTTAATCCCTAATAGTTTCTCATTCTCAAACATTTCAGCAAGAATGCCCGAAGAATACCAAAAAAAGAAAGGCAAAACTCGTGGAGTTTCGAATCGTAATCGTGGTCTTGAGTGGATAAAAAAAAATGCAACTTATGGAGCATTTTACTTTGCTGATGATGACAACACGTACGATCCTGAGTTGTTTGAAGAAATACGAAAAACTGTCAATGTTTCAATGTTCCCCGTTGGGGTTTGTACACCATACCAAGTTTCGTCACCTATCGTTCGTGATGGCAAGATTATTGACTTTTATGATGGATGGAAAGCTGGTCGAAAGTTTCCCGTTGACATGGCAGGTTTCGCAGTTGGCGTAAAGTTTTTTTTGTCACGTCCAAATGCAACAATGGCATATGTACAAGGAAGAGAAGAAGAAACTTTTCTTAGAAGCTTAGATCCATTAGAACTATCTGATATAGAGTTGCTGGCATCAAACTGTACAAAGGTAAATGAAGCTGTTTCTTTAGACATCATGATGAATGAATCAATTTTGTTAACAGATTTTGGTTTGGCACACACGAACAGAAAGGAACGCTCAGGCACCAGCTATTGATGTGAAATATAACGACACAAACTTGGTAGAGTTAAGAAAAATTCTCGTATGAGAGTTAATTTTTGAAGACATTTAGACGTAATAG